TAGGACTTACATGTGTGGGCATACGTTTTGTGTTGTGGTTTTGTATTCATAATCTTCTCTGCATAAAGCTTATTGTTGGTCTTTTGAATTGTTGTAAGAAAACTTGCTTTAAGATGTAGTCTTGTAATGTTGATAAATATTTCTACTGATACAGACTATACTCATCCCTGTCATTGTAAGATCTCGCCAGAATCCTTATGGTATGCCACCTAAAGGAAAGGTTTATTTTCCGTAAGTGCCAATCGACCCTTTAATTGCATCATAAGTATATAACAATTCCTATAACTTCCATGGCATTTGTAAATTAAGGTATTTCCGTCCATTAAATATTCAATTAGAGAAAAAAATCATATCATTGATAGTTTGCCAGGTTTTTGCTTGCATGTCAATATTCCATTCTTTTCTTATGTCCTTATCACTGGTTGCTAGGTGACAGAGGAGATGGAGTCTCTTAATTTGTTCTTTTGAAAACGGTAGTGAAGACACTTAATAGAAGAGGGTGCATTAGCCAAGAGTGCCACTGGGTTTCATCATTTATTTGATTGGAGCAGCTGCATAGTGCATTGAGGCCATCTTAAAACGACTTCATTTTTGGCTTGCACAAGTAGTTTTGTAGCAGTTATGGTGCAAAAGGTATATGGTTGCAGTTTGTGGGGTATTTTTGTGAAATTGTATCCGATGCAGCCCAATGAAAACAAAGAGGAATTGTCATGTTCCCAAGTTTAGCACGGCCCAACACACAACTAACTAACACACTAGGAAGTATAAAGTAGGTATGTTTTTTTTGTTTTTTTTAAATTCTTTATTTTTGCAGTGCATGTGTTTACATACAGATTTGCGATACCACAACAGTATTGGCAAGTAATTCAAGCATCAAACATTGTGTAACTTTGACATGGTATGTGGAGTAACTGCACATTTTTTAATTAATATACAACAGATTAATGGTACATGCTGGGTGTAGTTAGGGCATGAAAGTGAGTAACAAATTTGTATACTGTGCTTATCACCCGGGCAGTGCGATAAAGTAACCATGCTATATACGATGTAGACATGGTGAAGAACATGACAAACTTATACTGCACATTTTCGTATATAGACAGGATAGTATTATATTTGCCTGAGGGTACTTAAGCTGGGTTAGTAGTTTCAACAGAGGCATTAAAAATAAAATAAAAAATAATGCAATCAACGTTGTAGCATGCTGGTAACATACAACTGACCGATACCCTGGCTACACCGGGACCGGTGTGAGACTACTTATGGCATTTAGCCTATGCCGCTCAGAGTCCAAGTGTAGTGAGGTCGCCTGGTACCAGACTCTGTCTCCCCCTCCTGTAAGGTCAACGCTTGTATAGTATAGGCAGCTGAGGTCTTAAATGCAACAATAATTAAAATAAAAATAGGCACTTGTATAAATGTCTAAGTCTGTTGCTGGTGCCCTTGGAACAACCTGCCAGGGGTGGGAGAGTCATCTGCCCATCTGCAGGGTCAGCCAGTTCCCCGTTGGAGCCAAACTAAGTTCTGCCATGAGAGTCCCGGTGTCAGGCCCATCATCCCGCTGGAGTGGGGGCAGGTAAGGTTAAAGTGGAATTCCGGAAAGGTGTTCGACGTCTGTCTGAGCTTTGCTTGCGGCAGCAGTGACTTACTTGGTTTGTGGTGCATAGTGTTCATATTGCGCTTTATTGGGTCACCTACCCTCCGCTTCACCTTGGGTCTCCTGCTTCGTTGTGCCATTGTCGCGTGATGGGCTACACCTGCAGCTTGGGAGGCTTCACTGCACCGTTGTCCCGCAGCCGGCGATCTGCTTGGTGTGGCGGGTCCCACACGTGTTTGAAATTTTGTCCCCCTCTGTGGCTCCTTCTTCCGTGCTGCTTTGTGCTGGCTCCCAGATGGGGGGTGCCGCGCACAGTTCCACCATTTCGGAGCCTGCTTCACCGCTGTGCATGCAGTTTTCCTGTGTTCCCGGCCGGGTTGCACAGACTGCACACTGAGTGGGTATGTACCCATCTGTATTGTGGCTTGCATTGCGTGAGCACTTAGCCGCTGTGGGGTGGTCTGAGGTAGTCTGCTTTCAAGCTTCTGCCAGAAATCTTTGAAAATTTTCTCCAGCCGAGTCATGGGGGTAGGTGCTGTATCTGTGAGGCTGGTGGAGCGCATGGCATCCGCCATTTTAGGCCAGTTGTTGTGCTGCGTGCTCTGTCTTGAGATGACTCCCCGGGTTCCCGTTAAACCAGGGCATCTGCTCAGGGGGGGACCGGGATCACCCTCACCGGTCCAGGGGGGGGGAACAGGAGTCTTGTCTCCGTTTATCAGCCATGGTGTCAGCGGGGGAGCAGCCGTCTCCCTCATGCTGACCACGCTTGTAGGCCCCGCAGGACGAGGAGGCGAGTTTCGCTGGAAGTGTCACTTGTGAGGCATCATTGTGTGCCCCTCTTTGTCACCTTCCTCCTCGTGGCCTTTTTGGGTATGGTTTGTTTTTGTTTATTTTTTACTTCTGTTGCATTTTACTACATTAAACACTGAAGTAGCATTTACTGGGGTGAAGGACTAAGGTCAAGTTACTTCTATGGAGTTGACAGTTCTGCCTTAAAACATTTGGTACCCAACCCTTCTACTGCTGGTGAGATAATATGGAAATCTTACTTCAGCAATATCTGTAGAAAGATATCTAAATGTTAAAGGAACACTATAGGGTCAGGGACACAAACATGTATACCTGACCCTATAGTGTTAAAGCCACAATCTAGCCCCCCTTACCCCTCTCTTGCATCCCTAAATATAGTAAAATCTTCCTTGTATTCAAGTCTGGAGCTACTTGCTTTGTCCCTGTTTCCTTTTGACCTGCCCACCGCCTGCTGACATAATCAGAAGTGGTGGCCTGAGCCAATCACAATGCTTCCACATAGGATTGGCTGAGACTGTCAATGAGGCAAATCAGGGGCAGAGCCAGCACAAGTCAAACGCCACCCTGGCCTATCAACATCTCATAGAGATGAATTGAATCAATGCATCTCTATGTGGAAGGTTCAGTGTCTGCATGCAGAGGGTGAAGACACTGAATATTGTGATGCATTCTAGGCAGTACTCACCCAAGAAACACATCTAACAGCCATCAAAGGAGTGGCCAGTGAAGTTATCACTAGGCTGTAATGTAAACACTGAATTTTCTCTGAAAAGACAGTGTTTACAGAATAAAACCTGAGGGGAGTGATTCTACTCACCCGAAAAAATTCAATAAGCTATAGTTGTTCTGTTAACTATAGTGTCCCTTTAACAACAATAAAAGTTTGCAACTGCTGAGGTAAGTCTCCAAAGTATCATATCATTTCCATTCAAATTTGTATGGATAACAAGGAAGCATCAGGCATAGGCAACCTTCGGATGTTTTGGACTACACCTCCCATGAAGCTTTGCCAGCATTATGGGTGTAAGAGCATTATGGGGGATGTAGTCCACAACATCTGGAGTGCCGAAGTATGCCTATCTGTTGTTATAAAGGAGATACAGCCCACATCCCCACTTGTCCATGTACCCCAAAAAAATCAGCTTCTCCTCCATTCCCTTCCCTTATATTACATGAACGCAACTCCAAATCACAAAACAAATAACGCGGCTCATCCATTTCACATTTCTTATTTATAGTCTTAAGTCCATATGGTGTTTCACAGTTCTGGAATTCAGAATGAATCAGTGATACACCCCAAATTCAGAAGAATCTAATTTTTTATTTTTTTTTTAAACCAAAAGCTTGAAATTGTGTAAAATAGTGCAGAATTGAACTAAAAACATAAAATGTACCATTCATGATCAGTTAAATAACATTACATTTAATCTATGCATCATTATTATTATTTTTATTTTGATAAACATGTCGTTATTTTGTTTGAACAAATAAATTAAAGGGACAGGGTTGGCACTGTATCTGCTTCATCTCATTTAATTGGTTATAGTGTCTGGAGTCTCCTGGTACCGTCATTTGATTCAGCATTACATCGTTTTTAAAGTTTTTATGTTTCAATGCTAAATGAGAGCCCCCAGCAGCCCATCCCCTTTGTGCTGCTTTGACTAGTGAGGACGCAACAGGCAGCTGAGAGTGTTAGCTAACTGCTTTTGGCCTATCAACCCTCCATCTGATGGTTTGAAGGGTATGACTACAAGGAAGTGTGTAGTTTCTGCCTTAGAAACACCTCCACTATAAACTCAACACTACAAAGACACAAGCGATGGGAATAGGCCTGGGTAAGGACATCTTGGAGACGCTGAAGGCATCGTTCAACTTTGACTGGAGACAAGACCACCTGACATTTTTGGGGATTAAATTGACGAGTACACATAGAGCCCTTTTCAACAGGAACTACCAAGCACTCCACTCTCAAATAGCAAACACTTTACGGAAATGGGAAGGATCATTTGTGTCATGGGTGGGCAGATGCGCGGCCATTAAAATGATTGTTCTGCCACAGATTTTGTACCTATTCTGCACTCTACAAATTAGTGTTCCCGCCAAGTTCCTTAAATCCCTACAGATAACCTTATCTAAATTTAGCTGGCAACACAAGAGACCGAGGGTCCCGTGGAGATTACTGTCCCGCACAGTGAGAGGTGGAGGACTGGGTTTCCCCCATGTACTACAGGGCCACCCAACTAGCCAACATAATTGGGTGCCACGCCCAATCCCGGGCTCCTCAATGGGTGACACAGGAGTCATCCAGATTAGGGGGGAATCACCTATCACACCTCCTATGGGCCCCCAAAGAGGTGCGACCAAAGACTCCCAATATGCTGCCGACCACTAGACACATGATATCAGTATGGGATAAGAATAGACACAGGGTGTGCTCAACCTCCAAGTGGTCACCAGCTACCCCGTTGTAAACCCTTCATGCGCTTAACCCATCCTTTAACTACAAAATCTGGGCCAAACACAAGATTACCCACTTACACCAGCTCACGCACCTGGGCGCACTCAGGACGTTCGTAGATTTGAGAGATCGGCTCAAGATTCCGCAGCATGCCCACTTCTCATACCTGCAAATGTCACACACGATCACAGATGCTCGTACACACACAGTAGGGGGCGAACTGACAGGATTAATGACAAGATTTGAATGCAAATGTAATAGCCCACAACAACAGAAAAGATCCCTCTCGTTTTGCTGCAACGCAATCATCGACGAATCTCAAACTAAGATCTAGGGCTACCAGAAAGAATGGCATAAAGATCTGGGTAGAGAATTGTCCCCACAGGAATGGGACAGGGCACACACGGCGCATAAGGGGTCCTCGTTATGCGCCTCACACCTCGAGACATCAAGGAAAATACTGTACAGATGGTACTTGACACCAAACAAGCTTTCTAAAATGTATCACTCCATTAGTAACAAATGCTGGAGATGCCAGGGAGTTCCCGGAGACACATTTCACATATGGTGGACTTGCCCACTTATCCAACCTTACTGGAAAATGGTAGGGGAGATGGTCAACCATAGCACAAATTTTCAGGTGCCCTTGACGGCGGAGGCCTACTTACTGCACATAGCTCCACTTAACCTTTCCGAAGCACTCCTGAAAACTAATATTTCTAATAGTGATAGCAGCACAAACGTTAATTGCAAGACACTGGAGGTCTGACTCGACCCCAAAGGGGGAAGAGCTAATAGACCTGATTACCACAAATATAGCGTACGAACGATTTGCAACATTCCACATGAGCACAGGGAACTCAAATACACACATGTATGAAATGTGGCAGAGATACAGACATCAACTTCCCCATGACCGGGGACAGCCCATCCCACATAACCCACACACTGCAGAGCCAACAGAATTGTACCCGGCCACCGAGTCCACGTCCCCAGAGTGAAGCCCCCTGAGCAACAGTTGCTCACAACAGCAACAATCATAGTTATTGCCATCCATTGTAAATAAGTTCATGTTGTCTGTTACACTGCGTTTAACTACATGGGAGACAATGTAATTCCAATCTGGAAAAGCCTTCAATGTGTTTATGCAAGCCATGCTCAGGGAATTGATTTAAGCTGTTTTTCCCACATGACAATGTCTAGAAATTGTTAAACAAAACGCATTGTTATCCCATTCCCCCTACCCTTCCCTCCCCTTTTTCTTTTTTCTGTACCCCTTCCAATGTCTATTTTTATCAAAATTAAAAAATGGTCAATTCTAAAAAATAGAAAACACCTCCAGGAGGGACTGTACTGTGGGTGGCCAGAGAGCCGTATTCAGTGTTAAATTGCTCTAAAATGGATTCACATTGAATGGAGGGACAGTGCCAGGGAACTTCAGGAACTAAGACCAATTCATGGAGATAAAATGGTTACATTGACTACAGTGTACCTTGTTATGCAACATGTTGTATAGCTCCAAAATGACAAATATTTATTTTTTAAATACAATTTACAATATTTACAATGTGCAAATGAAAATTAACAATCCTGAACCTTGATAATTAATTTGGACAAATTTCAAAAAATATAATTTACTAGATGTAGGTCTACCATATTCCTCCTATGTTGGTACCGTTATAAGGCTGTGTAGTGGCTTTGATGGCTTCTTATAAAATGTGTCAATAAACAGAGCCTGTTAAGAGCTCAGTAATAGCAGGAGATATTTTGTCTCAGTACCCATGATGTAGAAAAATTTGATTTTATAAACACTGAAAATATAGTAGATGGGGGTACATGCTTGCTTGCGCACTAGATAGTTTGCAGATAGTAGAAACTGATATCAAAATCAATGTAAAGGTCTAGTTTTGACCTTAGAATTATGATTCACTCTTTTGCCCTAACCTTATTAAATCCTCATTTTAACAGGCAATGAGACTTCTGCGCATCACAGAGGTCCCAGTCCTAAGACCTTCGTAAGATCATCAAATTGCTTCGACATCCAACAGATATTTAAATGGTAGAATACAGTTGTATAGATTATATGTCCTGGATTAGACAATAAATACATGAAATTAATAAAAATAAAAATGGAAATATGAAGCCTTGCTTGTAAAACGAATTGCCTTATGAATTATTTATGTGTTGCACATAGCTGGGAAAATTACCTAATAAGCAAGGTAAGAGTGTCATTGAACAAATACACTGTATAGATTTAGAAATCAATCACTTCACATACAATGTATCCTCCGTCATATACCATATTTCAACCTTCCAGTTAAGCAATTAACCTTTCAATGCTGGAGGGACCTATAATGTAATTCATTGAAAGCTTCCTTTAGAAATCGAGGATAACACTACAAGTTCATCCAATGGCATTTAAGATTGTGAACCTTTGTTTCAATACAGTTTTAATAGTGTCTCAATTTTATTCCTAAATCACTGCAATATTAATGGCGTGAAAGGGCAGTTTTGCCAATAAGACTTACCTTGCCCACTGCTTCATATAAGCTAGGCAATATTAACTTGGAAGGACAGATTATTGTACAAGTGAATTATTGCTCTCTATTTATGTAATGGACAGGGTTATTTAATAAACTCCATTTCTTAGCAAATTAGGCCTCAATTTCATAAGCTGTTTAAAGGACCACTATAGTGCCAGGAAAACATACTCGTTTTCCTGGCACTATAGTGCCCTCAGGGACCCCTCCCGCCCGGCTCTGGAAGGGGTAAAGGGGTTAAAACTTACCTTTTTCCAGCGCTGGGCGGGGAGCTCTCCTCCTCCGATCCTCCTCCATTCCTCCCCGTCGGCTGAATGCGCACGCGCGGCAAGAGCTGCGCACGCAGTCAGCCGGTCACATAGGAAAGCATTATCAATGCTTTCCTATGGACGCTTGCGTGCTCTCACTGTGATTTTCACAGTGAGAAGCACGCAAGCGCCTCTAGCGGCTGTCAATGAGACAGCCACTAGAGGATTTGGGGAAGGCTTAACCCATTCATAAACATAGCAGTTTCTCTGAAACTGCTATGTTTATAAAAGAATGGGTTAATCCTAGAGGGACCTGGCACCCAGACCACTTCATTAAGCTGAAGTGGTCTGGGTGCCTAGAGTGGTCCTTTAAGTTGTTCACATCTCTTAGAAAAGTCTATGGGAATTTTTGTAGATAAATCATTTGAAAATATTATTTTAAACTGAGGTTTATATCTGAATGGCAAAATTGAAATTAAAAAAAGTATAGCCGAGTCTATGACTATGGATGAGTTGGACAATTTTTACAAAGCCACTATTTTACCCTCAATTGTGCCATTTGCTAAGATTAGGAGTTTATTAAATAACCCTGTTGGTGTTTTGCTTATAACAATATTGTACAGAGCTTGAGAATATGAAATCTAATAGAAGCATCAGAAACGGCATGTATAAATTGCCGCATAGGCCATTCAGTTTTGGAAAAATAATCTCTAAGAGTATATGAACAGCAAATTTGCATTAACATTTGAATAACTGATTATAAATACTTAAGCAAATGTGTAATAGTCATCTCATTAGCTGTTTTAGAACTCTCCGTGGCTCCCAAACTCTTCAGCCGCTTTGATAATGCAAAAACTACACTTCTGTATCCATCATCAAATATGATTCTGTGGTGGCAATATCAGCACAGGAGTCGAGTTAGATCCAAAGAATGGTCTTGGTACTTAGAGTCGCCCGTTAAGAATAGCTGAGAGTTCTAGAACTCTCTCTTAAGTAAGGCGTTTTTTAAGAAACCCTTAAAATAATTCAAATGTGTACTTTGACTCTGTGCTGATTTCTTTCATGTAAAATGTTGTATGCAGTCTAGGTGTTACCATGTGTACGGTTTATCTACCATATTCCTATGTTATTACCGTTGTAAGGTTGTGTAGTGGCTTTGATGGCTTCTTCTAACATGTGTCAATAAACAGAGCCTGTTAAGAGCCGGTAAATTGACTTTGCTGAAATCACTGCATGTCAATGAACTGCGTTCTATTTGTGAGCTAGGATCACTTTACAGGAATATTGACTGGAATATAGACGTTTTCATAGTAACTTATTGGCTGTAGATCAGTTTGGACTTTTGTGACTGTCAAAAGGACAATTAACAAGCAATTGAAATTTGCTCTTGTTGGAAGAAAATGCAAATGAATATTCATCTTTAGTTAATAGACTTAAACTTGGATGTGTAGATACAAAAGCTATCCAACAAATAACATGTGCTTAGAATTTCAAACTTCAGAACGTTAATCAGCATTTGGTGTTACACTGGCACCAACATAGTACATGCTTTATCTGTCTGTCTGTCAATCTGTCTATCAATCTATTTAAATAAATAAAATGTTTATCTATTCAGCTAATTATCTTCTCTGCCTACATATTTATTTCATCTGTCGGCTTGTCCATCTATTGATCTAATACTGAATACTATGTATTTTGTGTGTGTGCACGTGTGTTTGTATGTGTGTGCGCGTGCATGTGTGTTTTTGTGTGTGTTTCTGTAGATATAGGGAAAACAGCACAAAAACTCCCATTTAGTGATTAGCCATATTTTACGCATGACTTCATTTTACATTATTTTGCAATATTTAATTTCACTTATTACATCCACTATAGAGGGAATGTATGTTTGCAATTTATAGATGAATATATCAATTAAAACCCCAAATTGTATATCTCTAACAAACAATAACCCACACAATTTTTAAAGATAAACGTAAAACATAGCAATCACTTACATTAAAACAGACCAACTGTTCCACAGATTCTTTTCTATGGTTAGCAGATGGGTGAGATATTTGATAACAAAAAAATCAGAAACTCTAGCCAGGAAATATTAATGTAGACAGGTCAAAATATGTTTTTGTAACATGATCTACTTGCCAAAAGAAGACAAGTAGAAAATATGCTTACAATATGTGGGTACACTATTTAACTCTCTAGCTCTAAGCTCTGGGTCAAAATGTGTTTCTTATATTTGGCTTTTAAAGACAAACCTAGACTTCCCTATGACCTTCAGAAGCTGTTGTTTTTTTTAACTATGGTTGCTTCCATCTGCGATCGCAGCCTCTGTCTTAAAAAAATAGGATTTTTCCGTAACACACCTAAATGACTTCCGTATGCTAAAGTGCTTAAAGGGACATTATAGTCACCCAGACCACTTCAGCTCAATGAAGTGGTCTGGGTGCCAGGTCCCCCAGGTTTTAACCCTTCAGATGTAAAAATAGCAGTTGTAGAGAAACTGCTATGTTTACATTGCAGGGTTAATCCAAACTCTAGTGGCTGTCTTCCTGACAGCCGCTAGAGGCACTTCTGCGACGCTGGATGCGAAAATCTCGAATGCGCATTCTGCTCCAGTGGGGAACTGACGTTGGCGGGGGAGGAGAGGTCAGCAGCACAGAGGGAATGACTTTTAGGTTTTAAGTCAGTACGATTCTGGATAGTATTCGGATCATTTTCATCTAGGAGGGCCAACAGAGTATTGTGGCATTAATAATCTTTCGGCGCAAGTCCGAGGTCTCTAGCCTTTCTCTCATTCTGGATAGAGAAACACTTATGTAAAGCCAACTTCCAACCAAACTTGTCAAAAAGTGGTGTAGGTACAAATGACAGACCTTTACCCAAAACAGTATTTTGATCTAAAGTTAGTATTCGAGAAGACAAGTTAATGACCTGGAACTTACGTTCTAATATCTACATAGTATCTTGTTTCTTGTATAGATTTACCCTGTTGAAGTAGTGGAACATCTTTAGCAGATGGTTTATTAATTTCTACATAAGCACCAGGATTTAAGTATGCTCTGCTACCCCTATATATGCTACTGAAGATAAACTCTATACGTACGCGCTTATAACTTGATTTATACATCCCCGCACAAAAGTTCGAACAGGCACAATGTTTCTTTTTTGTACGAATCGGTACATTGTTGCACTAAGTCCCTGTGCATGCGTGGATATTTTAGTATGGAAATGCGCATGGACTGTAGCTTACTCCCCGCCAGGTTCGGGGATTAACAGGTAGATAACATTGGCCGAATCGCTGTAGTGATGCCTCACACCTGACAGGTAGGAGGGGTTACGAGTTATTTAAGATGAGGGGGGATCCTTTGACTCAATTGTTTGCCCTTGAAAAAGGCGGTTAGTCCGCCGAAACGCGCTTAGGGCTTTTTCTTTGATGTCACTTTTGATTTGATTTTACTTTTACTAGAATACTGTGTTTGCAGTTTATGTTGTGCCGGGGCATTTGGATATTTATATAAGGGGTGCTCACAGTGGAGGTGTCCTCCTATCTAGATTATTTCTCTCCCTTTATTTTTCCTCATATTCCTCTCTCTGTCGTTTCGATTTCCTACTGTTTTAGGATAGGATAGCCATTGATATAGAATATTGGCTATTGGGATTTATATGGAGGATTTTTTTCATTTTATTTTTGCCCTCTGGTCTATTTATTGGAGCACAACGTACTGCTTTTTTTGGCACCTACTGATTATCTGTAGTTGAGTCTCTGCATATAAGCATTGCAACTATGTTTCTATAATTTTGTTCAAAGCAGGATTGTTATATCCCTAGGGAACTTATCTATGCTACCACAGAACTAACCAGACAGTGACTGGTAGCCAATTTACTTATCAGTATCTAGTTTTTGTATTTTTTATATACTGTGTGCTTTCAATAAAGTTTATTTATTATTATTTTTTTCTAAGCTTTTATATTTTTTTGGGGTGGTGTCTTGAGGAGGATCCCCCCGTCTATGTACGGGGTGATTTCTCCTCTTTTCTTCTCTAATTTGTATTATATGTAGGTTTATGCCCTTTTTTTCAACCCTATAACCCTTTTTCTGTACTCCTTGTTGGAGTTTGTTCTGTACTTGGAAGTACCTTAGTCCACATATATATAGTGATAAGTGATAAATATGTATGCACATTAGGAGTCTCCTGGGCCCCCAGGACCGCCAGGCCCGTGACAACCATCATGGTTGTCACCCCATGATGGCGGCCCTGTATATCCATGTTTGCTAAATGTATTAATCTGGGAGATTAAATCACATAATAGAATGCAATTGTTTGTATAAGAGGTTGCAGCCCAGTACTACATTACACTGGCCATGCTCCTAAATGTTTGGCTTATTTTGCCCTGTCTAAGCCATTGTATAAGGTCACTTGGTATTTCAACGAGTATAATTTCAGTGGTGTCCAGAGCGTTTGGCAAAATGCTGCGATAATTGAGGTACCACCTGCAGTGGATATGACACGAGGGGGTACCCTGGCTCCATCCCAAAATAATTTGTCAAATTGTTTTAGAACATTTTTACAACTTACCTGCATCCCCTGGTCACCTGCACTGCATTCAGCCTTCCCCTGCAGTAGAAACAAGATGTTTTAGCCGAGCTTAGCAGTACTCATTGACTTTGAGAACTAAATTTATACTCTCAGTCAATGAATGTAACCATGCGCAGCCCTGTTTAGCAGGGCTGCAGCAACAGATACCTGTTGGGACCCAGGAAAGTTGTCAAACCATTCAAAAATAGATTGACAGATTGCTCTGGGAGAGCACCAGGGCACTTTGGGTACCATAACTACTACAACTGGCTCTAGGGGTTATAGTGCTTGCAATGTTCCTCTAAATCACTGCTCTATAGATCACATCTGTCTTATGGTCACCCCTGCTGTAGATTAATCTGCTGATAGTATAAAGCAGTCCTGCGGTACGCTAATGAGTGAATATCCTTAGTCTTTTGCAGTCAGGAGATCTGTCTTCTCTTCACTAGACCCTACAGTTAATGAAAAAAATATATATCTTGCTGTGCGTAAAAAATCCTTTTGAGTCATAGTACAAGACAAATGGGGGTTATATTCTCAGATCTGCATGCAGAGAATCTTCAGTTTTTGGAATTTAAAGTTTATATAGCTTCCTGGGAATATATGAAAAAATATTACACAAAGTTCTGACGATCAATCATTAGGGAAACAGAGTCTGATTGATCACATACAAAATTGAGCATTATTACCTGTAAACTTTTTTTTTTTTCGTCTCACAGATCTTAAAATAAATCTGCGACGGTCTGTCCAAATAAAGGGTGCTAGACGTTTGCAGAATAGTGTAAATATACATGATGCTCACAATAAATTGCATTCGTGATTTAAAAAGCTTCTAACATCGCAACAATATAGCAATATTATATAACCATATTACAGCTTCCCAAAATGGAAAAATAAAATTGAAACAGGGCGTCTAAGCTCAAAAAGGCACTAACAGCACCCAGACCACCTTATCGCAATGAAGTGGTCTGGGTGCAATGGCCCTGTCTTTTTAACCCTGCAATTGAAAACATTACTGTTTTGCAAGAATTGCAATATTTTCAATGCAAGGTTAACATGTCTCTTGTGTTTGTCTTCCTGGCAGCCACCAAAGGTGATTCCGTTACTATAACCAAGTCAAACTTGGTTATAGATCAAACAATTCTCATTGGGAGCATTTAATTGATGCAGTGTGGCGTTTTGCCATGCATGCGTACTAATCTCCCAGTGCTCCTATGGGGAAGCATTGGATTGACTGAGATTATCAATCCTGATAATCTCAGCTAGGGAGGTCGAACTGCTGCAACAAGACCAGCGCAACGGGGGAGTTAAGGTAAGTAAAAGTTAACTTTTTACTTAATTCTGAGGGGGCTCAATCTAATTGGCACTGAAATTTATGAGAACTTTTATCTCTTCATAGACGTGCGTGTGTATATGTGAGGTGTGTGTAATGGAGTGAACAGAATGTATTGTAAAACACAGGTTACAGGCACATTTTTTTTTACTTGACACCTAAATTGGAAATGATGATTTTATTCATAACAGACTAATTAGACATATTTTATAATGCTAGCTACACTTTTTTTAAATTCTTTTCTAAACAGATGTTCCTCCTACTATCTCGATGAGTTGTTTGTGCAGAGACAAACACTCCTCCTCCATGTAACCATGTCATTCTATTATTTGTGTTTCTTTCATCTGAACCAAAAGGAACCAATTTAAATAAAGCTTTCAGTCAAAATAATTCAGTCATTTACAAAATACATGAATGACTAGAATAGTTTCAGGTTGGTGTGCATGAGTAACATGGAAATA